CAAAGTATTTGACAAAACACAACACATTTTCATGATAAAATAAATGTTACATACTGGGATAAAATTGAACTTCCTCAATGATGTAAAGATAGCACATGAAAATCCTACAGCGAGCATCGTACTGAGTGTTGAAAGATTAAGTACCTTTCTTCCAGATGAGGAACAGGACAAAATATCCTCTTTTGCCACTTTTATTTGACATTGTACCATTATTTGACATTATTTGTACCACTGACATTGTACCATTGACACTGTACCATTGACATTGTACCATTATTTGACATTATTTGACATTGTACCATTGACATTGTACCATTATTTGACATTATTTGACATTGTACCATTCTAGCTAGGGCAAGTAGGTAAGAAAAATGAATAAAATGAATCCTGAATCAAAAGAAAAAACTACAATGACCTCTATTCACCAATGGGATGATCTTCTATCCCCCCAAATCCACTACAAACTATCAAAATAAATAAATGAGTTCAGCAAGTTTGTAGCATGTAACGTCAAAACACAACAACTGAGTTTATATGCACTAATCATGATCCATTCAGAAATGAAATTAAAAATTCAATTTCATTTAGATGGCCTCAAATAGATTAAAGTACCTATAAATAAACTGAAAAAAGAAATGTAATACTTATGCAATGAAAACCGTAAATATCTATAAAAGAATCTGAAGCACATATAAATAAATGGTAAGGTATTCAACATTTATGGATCATAAGATTTAATATTATGAAAATGGCAGTATTTTCCAGATTTGCAAATTCACACAATTCCTATCACATCTCAATTGGCATTTTTAAAAGAAACTGGCAATTTAAATTTCAACATCATATGGATTTTAAAAGATCCTGAAATACCCAAAAATATTCTTTAACAAATTTGAATGTCTCATATATTTCAAAAATTATTATACAAGTGTAATAAAATACAACATGCTATTGCCTTAAGAATAAATATATAAAATAAAATTGTAAGTCCAAACATCTTTACATCAATGACAAACTGATTTTTGATAATTATGGCTACATTCTGAGAAAACTGGCCACCTGTATGTAAGAGAAAGATTTTAGATTTCTAAATGGCACCACATAAAAAAAACTCAAAGTGGGTATCAGACATAAATATTTGAACTAAGAATTTTAAAGGAAAATAGAGGAACAAAATTGAATGAATTAAGATAGTTTATGTCTACTTAGATATGATACTAAACATTAAGAAACAGATAAAGTGGATTAAACTGAAGTTAAAAACAATCTTTTGTGCTTCATAGGACATAATTACATAAACCAGACCCATAAGGTTAAATATCACAGTATTTTTCTAATACAAGAGACCAAAACTCAAAGAATAAAGAACAAAGTCAGATGATAAGAAAGGTAGAAACAGACTCTCTGGAGTTGGGCAGGCGATCTAAAAGAGACAGGAGAGGGGAAAGGGGAAAAGAGGGGTGATGAAGAGATAATATGTATACATTCCGATTTCCCAAGATGAATGCAATTACTGTGTATCACAAACATACACTAAAAGAAATGGATGAAAATCACACACTGAAGAAAGAGAAGAGATACAGAAAAAGAAAAAATGTTTATAATTCATATATTCAATAAGGCCTTGCTTCTAGAATATAGAAAGAACTCATAATTTGCTAACAAAAACACTCAGCTAAAAATTAGCAAAGGATATTATACACCAATAATGAACTCACCAGCAACAAAATCATAAAAACAATACCACTCACAGTAGCATCAAGAAAAATTAAATACTTAGGAATTAACCAAAGTAGTGAAAGATCTCAACAATGACAACTACAATACTGTGAAAAAAGGAGATTGAAAAGAACATCGAGATATGGAAATATAATCCCTGCTCCTGGAACCAATATTGTGAAAAAGGCCTTACTACTAAAATTGATAGAGTTTAATACAATTCCAATCAAAATGCCAACAGCATTCCTCACAGAACTAGAAAAGACAACCAAAAAATTTATATAGAGCCAAGCATAGTGGAGCACACCTATAACCACAGCACTCAGGAGGCTGAGGCAGGAGGACTGCCATAAGTTTGAGGCCAGTTTGGGCTCTATAGTGAGTTCAATGCCAGGTTGAACTGTATAGTGAGACCCTATTAAGAAAAGAAACAAAACTACTCATACGGAACCAGAAGAAACCCAGAATAGCAAAAGTTACCCCTGGGTCATGTGAACAAAATAGAAGACATCAAAATCCTGGCTTTCAAGTTACATTACAAAGATACAGTGATAAAAGCAGCATGGTATTATCACTAAAACAGATTTGTGGATGAATGGAACAGAACAGATGATGTATACACACACACACATCATATTACAGTGATCTAGGCATGCACATGTTTATAGCAGCACAATTCATAACAGCTAAACCTTTGAAGCTGCCTTTATGTCCATCAACAGATGAATGGACAAAGAAAACGAGGTACCAAGAGGTACTACTTAGGAGTACTACTCTACCATGAAGAAATCATGTCATTTGTCAGAAAGTGGATGCATCCTGAGACCATAATGTTAAGTGAAACAATCAGACACTAAGCTTAAATATCATATGGCTTCCCTTATATACAAAACCCAAAGTATAAATAAATTAAGGAGTAAAATATAAGATGGATAATAGGAAACAAGGAGGTAGATCTTTTGCCAAAAAGTAAGGAGACCAAGAGATTGAGGGACATGAGGATGAGAGGAGCGGAGGGGGATGAAGGAAAGAATTAAGATATGCTATGTTCACATACCAGCTCCCCATGATGGATGTAAGCATTATGTACTGAAAACATCTATTAATAAAGATAAAAACTTAAAAACAGATAAAAAATGATTAGCTAAAGATATTGCAGTAGTTTCCTATTTTTCTCCAATAATTTATTTTAAAATTTAGCTAAAACATCTCAGAATTTTTTCTGCACTTGAGTATGTTAGAAGTCTGACACAGATGTGAATGGCCTAAATTGTAGCTATTTTCAGAACTGTATGTCTTTCTGGAAGACATCTGATTCCTTGGATTGTGGCCTTCCATTTCCATTTTCAAAGCCAGCAAAAGACAATGAAATATCTTTCAGATCACACCATTATAATGGTGATGTTTGTTTTAGCCCCCAGAACAAGGGTCCTTATGATTTTAAGGGCCCTTATGATTCTACTGGGCCCACCTAGACAATACAGGGTAATTTCTGTATTTTAGGATCACCTTATTATCTGTCTTAACTCCAACTGAAACCTGAATTCTCTTTGCCATGAAACATCACACACTCATGAATGTGAGAAATTTACAAAGGGATATTTTTTGGAGGTCATTAAACTGCCTATCACAGATAAGAGAAAATACACAAATGGAGACCAGCATATGAAAGGCATTCATCAGCGTTGGTTATTGAAGAGATGGAAATGAAAATCATAACAGCATGCCAAATTGTTCCCAATAGTGTGACCATTAATATATTTTTTTTACTTTTTTTTTTTTCTGGTACTGGGAATCAAACTCATGACCTTGCGCTTGCTAGGCAGGCGCTTTGCCGCTGAATTAAATTCCCAGCCCCAATCCATTAATAAAAAGTATACTAATAAATATGGTCAAGGGTATGGAGAAATTTTAATGATCATTCATTTTCAGTGGTAATGTAAAATAATACAATCACTTTGGCAGAGCATTAGAGTTTCTCAAAATGTTAAACATAGAGTTTTCATATGACCTCATAATTCCACTCTTAAATATATTTTCACAGTATCAAAATATATCTATAGTAAAGCTTACATATGAATGCTTATAGCATGTTTATCCAGAGTAGCTACAACATGGAAATACCCCTAATGTCACTCAAATGATGAGTGGCTAAAGAAAAGGTGGTATGTCCATATAACCGAATATGACGTGATCACAAAAACAAACGAAATATTGTTACATACTACAATGTAGAACTTTGGAAATAGAATAATAAAATAAGTTAGACATAAAAGGCCACATAAAAATAATATTTAGAGTAAATGTATAGAAGACGGGAAGTCTATAGGGATAAAAAATAGATTATTGATTTTTAGGAGCTAGTGGAGGAGAAGGGGGAACGATTTCTAACGAACATGGGGTTTATTTTTGGATTAATGTGAACACTGTCAAATTAGATAGCGCTCCTGGTTGAACAACTTCCGAGATACATTCATACTATTGAATTGTATACATCAAATGCGTGAATTACATGGCATGGAAATTATAATTCAACCAAGATATAATTTAAAAAACAATAATCTCATCACATGTCTAAATAGTTTCTGGACATCACAGTTCTCTAGTAACCATCACACTTCCTATACTGATACTTTATTGATTCAAAAGTTATTAATCCTGGATGAATCCAGAACAAAGAGAGGTGAAAACTAAAGACTCAGTTCTCACAAATGTTTGAAAAAATAACCATGTTGCTGGAGAAAAGAAAATCAATTTGATAGATTTAAGAGACTTGACCCAATGAAAATCTAGGAAGCAGTTAAAAAGAGGACTGTTTATGTAATATGTTCAGTATCTGTTGGGCCAAGTGTGGTGGTGCACACCTGTAATCCCAGCACTCCGAAAGTTGAGACGGGAGGATTGCTGCAAGTTCAAAGCCAGCTCAGGCAACAAAGTGTGTTCAAGGCCAGCATGAACTGCATAGTGAAACCGTGTCCTGTCTCTAAAAGACCAAAGAAAAAAACTGTTGTTGTTCTATGAAGGCTGATTAAATCTATTCTAACTGACAATGACTCATACTAATTAACCAGCAAGAAATATAAATAGGAGCTACAAGGACACAATAGTTCTTGATTGCAATTAAGAGAAAACAACCATCAATAATTTTATGAGCCACATCATTATCCAGTAGAAAAAAAGATGTTAACAAACTGAGGTAAAATTGAAAGCGCTGGTGTTTGCTACACTTAGAGCAGGGTTCAGCAAAACTCTTTTCCTATAAATGACAAGACAGAAAGTACTCTAGGATTTTTGGTGGGAGTGTCTGTAAATGCAGCTCAGTGGTGGAGCAGCTGCCTGGCATGTGCATAGTCCTGAGGTCAATCTGTAGCACAAAAAGGAAAAAATAATAGACTTTATGGACCACGTAGTCTTTTCACATCTACTCAACTCTGTCATTATAGCATGAAAATAGCTTTAGACAGTAAGTGAACACATTTGTATAGCTGTATTCCAAAAGCACTGTTTACCAAAAGAGGCATCAGGATAGATTTGGTCTGCAGACCTTAGCCTTCCAATGCCTGCTTGGGAGGATATGGGAAAGAGTTGGCTGAGCAGCGGTTATAAGTAAAATAACCCCTGATATGTAGAATTGACCCAGTTCCCAGAGCAATGCCTTGGTATTTTCTTTTTCTGTTTTGTACCAGTCCTATTTTAGCATATTTTACATGCTTCTTAAATCGTATGAGTTTGCGTATATGTCTTAAAATTCTGCATTACTTTAAAAATACCTTTAGAAGCAGTAATTATGTTTTGCACTTATTTAACTTCCCTAGAACTTCAAGTACTTTCCTGGCACCTAACAGGTACTTAACAAATGATCACAGATTATTTACGACTATACATACAAAAGTATTTATAACTAATGCTAGGCCACATAAGCGGTACATTTTATAAGCATCTGTAGAACAAATGTGTTTTTAATACTCTGCACAGCAATTTAGCAGACCTAAAAAGTGTCTGAAGCAATGTGGAAAGAAAATGAAGAAAACTTATCTTACCTGGATACACCCTTCATTGATCTTTCCCCTACTAGGATCAATTTTAAAATGTGCAGTCTTTGGAAAACGGTATGTGACAGGAAGATCTTCAGATTGATTTCGTACAAAGCACATAATGTCTAAATGTTTACCCATGAAACAAGGTAAAAATTTAAAGACTTTGCCTGGATCAAAATGCAGTAAGACAGGAAGCCCTGAACCTGTCAGTGCTAATTCCACTTTCTGAAGCTGATCACCTGGAAAAGCAATAAAATAGCTATTGAACATAAAAGGTGGTTGAGGAAGCCAAAATATAGTTGCTTAATCCGCATACTATCATTTGAAAGACCTAAAGAGAAATTGGTAGCCCATTCAATCTTTTCATTCAAACAGTTACTGAGTATCTTCTCTGTGTGAGGTACCCTCTGGACCTGGGGATATAGCAGAGAAGAAAGGAGACTTTGATCTCACTGACTTTACGTTCTAGCAAGTAGTATCAATGATAAAAAATTAAATGTGTAAATTCATAGCATTTCATAGAAAATGGTCCATATTGGTAAAGGTAAAAGTCACAGGAGACAAAGAAAATACAAGGTCTTTGGGATATTTTATGTGGAGATGGTCTTCTCTTATGGTGAGACATTTGAGAAAAGATACACAGGGAATCTGGAAGAAATTCACATGACCAAACAGGAAAGTATATTCTAGACAGACAGAAAAGCAAGGGCAAAAGATCTAACAAAGAAACTTGCTTAGCATGTTCAAAAAACCCGATGGAACCAAATATGACTAAGGGAGAGTAGTGAATGACTAATGAGAAAGGGTCGGATTTTGGCTACATTTTTGAGGTAGAGTAAGTAAGATTTTCTGAATGATTTTATGGAAGATTGCAAGGTGAAGAGGTAATAAGCAATGACTAAGTGTTTTGTCTTAAGTAAGTGAAATGTTGCAAATATAATTTATTAGGACAGAAAACAGAAATAGGTTGAGGAAAAGCAAGAATTCCATGCAAACATGTCAAGACTGACAGGTCTAGTAGATACCCTAATGGCAATACCAAGTATGACAATATGTTTGCAATCTTAGAGTGAGGACAAAAGAAGGGTTGGAGGTTTAAGGAAAGAAAAGAGGTGTGATATTCATCTGAGACTATGAGAAACTGAATGAATGGGGGAACATAGTAAGAATGTCAAACACCTTAGAGAAACCACAAAGGGCCAGTGGCTACAGATGTAAAATATGTTTTCTTTGGTGTGTGTTTTTTTAGTCCAGGATATCATATGCAGATCCAGAGTAGGCTGAAAGTTAAATATAATAGGATTATAGTTCTTTCCACTTAATCACTATGGGATATGGAACCAAAAATTTAAATTTACATGAAAAAGAGTGACTAAAATAATGGACAATGGAATATAAACTAGGAACAAATATAAATATAGATGTTTTAGACAGCAGAACAACATAGGAACTAAGGACTGTAGACAGTAGTTGGATGAAATCTATTATTCAGAAAGCAACGTAACTGGAAATTTTAAAAAGTTCACATTTCTTCACTGGTGCTTTCCCCTTCCAACTCTAATCTCTAAGTTACCTGTAAGGCAAACTTAGGATTTCCATCTATATTCCAAGCTACATTACCTGTGCTTCTTACAAATATTCTGTCACCTGCAGACAAGAATCAATGTCATAAACCATGACATACACGGCAGCAATAAATTTCTGCCCTAGTAACACAGTTAAATTTTGCTAGATATCACTTGTACTGATTTGCATACTTTGTATCCTCCATTCTTCTATGTGCCTAGGATGAACCTATCCCTTCATGGAATGGTTCATTTTCTGGATTTGATTCCTAAATGGTCTTTCTCCTTGTTTTAACTTTGATCTGTCTTGCTGAAGTGACTCCAATTCTTATTCCACTTTTTTTTTTAATACAACAAACTCAGTATCAGCCGAGAATGTAAAAAGCATAATGCATTTTGATATGTGGCCTGAAAAACATAGGCACTTATCACTATCTTATGACAGCGTTATACACCCTATTTACATGGTAACAGATTATAGTAATAGACATATGAGAGAGAGAAAGAGAGAAAGAGAGAAAGAGAGAGAGAGAGAGAGGGGGGGGGAGAGAAGTATGGAAGAGATGGGATGGGTCAATGGTTTCTATACCAAGCACTAAGAACAAACAGAGGCATACCAATAAAATAAAGCCATTTTTCATTGCCCAAACTCTAAATCCTATTTACCTAATGCTATTTTAAAATGATAAGGTCATATAAATTCTAAACTGGAAAATTATTATGCACAGGATTTCAAGGTTGACTTCATTTTTAAGATGCTACAGATGACATATTAAGATCACTTGAACATGTTTGCATTTCTGTTCAAGCTAATAACATACTTTTAATAAACCGTCCCTACAAATATGAATGTCCAGAATTTTAAACATTTTAATTACTATACGTTTAATTATTTTGTTAACTTCATGCTTACTTTTGATAATTTCAGAGTTATCATCTCTCAAACATCCATCTTTACTTCCCACAGTCTCAAATCTCAAGAAGACGGCATAATCTTGCCTATGTGAAGGGTCAACATCCATTTTACTATCAACTATTAGTCTGTAAAAAAATCACAGTCAATTTTTTACTAGCAGTATATGTTTACTATCCATAATAATTACATTCCTCTTGGGGAACTGGCATATATACATATTGCATCTTAATCACTTCCACTTCTAAAGCAAAAATGACATACTTTATCACTTCTCAAAATAAAATATCAATCCAATCCTTACATCTATGCAAGAAAACAGAAGTTAAGAAATAAAAATGCAACCATTATCTATTTTTCAGAATTACTGGACTGATATAGAACTTGCCAGAAGACCACGGACTATAAAGCTCAAAAATAATGAGTTCCTGCAAACCTTTCCATGACAAGAGTAACTTCAGTATACGAAGTTGTCAGGCTCTGGCTGAAATGCCACTTTCTCTGTAAAGAATTTTCTCTACAGGCAAAATTCATTGTGGGCTAAGGAATCTGATCAATTCTCTGTAGTATTCATACTTCATTTTACCCCTGGGAGTAATTGAACACGTCAGTTAGTATTTATCTCCCCTGG